TATAACCCAGCAATAGTCGTGGCAGTGCTGCTGAATTTGCAGTTTTTCATATCATGACCAGAATTTTGGAAGCTACAAACAGTTTGTTTTTACCTCTGCCTCCTGGTAAGTGTTGGCTCTTTTGTCCTTTGGTGTAATAAATTTATTTCTTCTTCATATGGGCCCTTGTCCTTGGTACATTTTAAGTGTGATGATGAGACTTGTATATGAGAAATTGTGTGTCTGGTATCGCTGTGAGTGATGGGCCCTTAGGTTGGTCTCTGCTGACCAGAGCTCCTGTGACTACTAAACTATGTTGTAGCTTATTACTAACTTTAGGGAACCTATGCTTAACAGCATGCAGCTTTCTAGGATAATCTGAACCAGCAGAACTAATTTATAGAACTCTATCTCTGATGTCTCCAGGCCTAGTTTATCTGATTGAGATATCTGAAGGTGAACACTAGGAAGTGGGTCTGGCTCAATGCCAAGAATTGAACTGATTCTTAGGCATTTGGAAGGTAAAAATTTCCCCTTAGAATTTTTAAATAGGATCAAGTCAGGCCACAAAACACCCTTGGGAGATGTATATGCATTCATTCATTTAATTGGTCATGTGTTCATTTAGTCAACAAACATTTGTTGAGCAACTATGACATGAGAGGTAATGTGCTAGAAATTAGAGCACAAAGATTAGGAAGAGACTAGGGATATACATAGAAATCAGTATCCATTATGAGAAATAAGCCCATTAGCTATAAACTATGTTGTGCTCATGAGTTCAGTTTTTAATTGTGTAACAACATTTAACATGAGACCTACCCTCTTAACAAATTTTTAAATGCACAATACAGTATTGTTAAATATAGATACAATGTTGTAGAGCAGATCTTTAGAGCTTACTCATCTTTGACAGCTGAAACTTTTTACCTGTTGAACAGCAATTCCCTGTCCTCCTATTCCCCAGCTACTTGGCAAGCACTGTTCTACCCTCTGTATCTAAGAGTCTGACTACTTTAGATATGTAAATGGAATCATGCAGTATTTGCCCTTCTGTGACTGGCTTTCTTCACTGAGCATAAAGACCTGCAGCTTCATCCATGTTGTCACATGGAGCAGGATTTCATTTTTTAAGGCTGAGTAATATAGTCCATTGTATATTCTACATTTTCTTCATCTGTCAGTGGACATTTAGGTTGTTTCCCTATCTTGGCTATTGTGAATAATGTGATAACCATGGGAGTATATACATATGTCTTCAGGATCCCGATTTCAATTCTTATGGATATTTACCCAGAAATGAGATTATTGGATCATATATTATTTTTTTTGAATTTTTTTGAGGAACCTCTGTACCATTTGCCACAGTGGCGATACCACTTTATGTTCCCACCAATAGTGTATAAGAGTCCGATTTCTCCACATTCTTGACAACACTTAGATTGTGGGTTTTTGCTAATAGCCAATCTGAGAGATGTGAGGTGACATCTCACTGCGGTTTTGATTTGCATTTCCCCGATGATTAGTGACGTTGAGCATATTTTCATTTAAGTGTTGGCCATTTGTCTGTAATCTTTGGAGAAATGTCTGTTCAAGTCCCTTGCTCATTTTTTAATCCAGTTGTTTCCTTGCTATTGAGGTTTGAGTTCTTTATATGTTTTAGAAATTAACTCCTTATTAGATATATGGTTTGCAAACAATTTTTTGTCATCCTGTAGGTTTTGCCTTTACTTTCTGGATTGTTTCCCTTGCTGTGCGAAAACCTTTTTGTTTGGTGTAGTCCCACTTACATATTTTTGCTTTCATTGTTTGTGCTTTGGACGTCATATTCAAGGAATCATTGCCAAGACCAATGTCAAGAAGATTTACCTCTATGTTTCTTCTAGGGGGTTTCTCAGTTTTGGGTCTTATGTTTAACATTATAATGCATTTTGAGTTGAATTTTGTTTATGGTTAAGATAAAGGTCGCATTTCATTCTTTTGCATGTGGACAGTCAGCTTTTCCAACACCATTTATCAGAGATGTGATCCTTTCCCCATTATGTGTTCTTGGTGCTTTTGAAGATTAGCTACCTGTATATGAATGGTGGGTGTATTATTGCATATAAGTTCTAATGAATGTTAAACTTTGATTGCTGTAATTACATATCAGCTGATTTTTAGTTACTTCATATATATCCATCCATTCATCATTAGTTCATTCATTTTAGGCCAACGTATATATGATAACCATTTTGTGCCAGGTACTGTTCAAAGTACACACAAATTTGCAAACTTAATTTTCATAACATTCATAACTGGTAGAAACTTGAATTGGACTGCATTAAAAAGTCAGTAGCCCACCATTTTTTAGCCAGCAAAAATGGCACATGTAGTTCAACTTAACATCATTCCCATTTTATAGATGGTGAAACTGAGGCCGGAAAGATTAAGTAATTTGCCTAAAGTCACATGGCTATTAAGTGACAGGGCTGATATTCTAATCCAGGCAGTCTGACTCCAAAATCCATGCTGCTTCTTGAATTTTATATTGCCGTTGAATTAGTTGATGTTGAAACATGGGCTATTTATGGGCCTAAAGAATCCCTACAGCGTATGCTTTTCTGTATTTATGATATATCTGATACGATTTGGAATCCTTCTTTCTTCCTCCATCCATCACCTTATTTAATGTCTCTCTGTAGCGGCAGTACAAAAGGAGTTGAAAGTGACCATTCATGAGGGGAATGGATCATTTAAAATTATCCCAGTGGAATATGAGTTATAAGGTATACCCTAGAAAGAGTGAAGGATTTTAGGAAAACTACTTTTGCGGCTTAAATTCTTAATTGTTGTAAACACAAAAATATTGGTAGGGAAATCGATGGACAGTTTCAGATTTGTTCATTATGGATATTCAAGCTCCTTTTGAAAATAAATGAAACTGACTTACTGCGGACATTTTTATGCCTGGAGATCATAAAATCCACTTCCTACCCAGCTCACATTCCTTCACAGGGATAAGGAAGGAAAACATAGAAAAATGTTATCCATAGTGATCGAGAATTATTGTAAGTAGACCTAGGGTTCATGTCTGTGGATCAGGTAAGGAAAAGCTGTTTCTCTCTCCTTTGCTCTTAAATATTTATTTCCATTATGTGACATGGAAATATAGGGGGGAAGTGACACTGGATCATGTGTGTGCATGTGCATGCCTGTGTGTATGAATTCAGGGTGTTTCTACATGCACATGTGTAAGTGTGCTTGCTTTCCAGGCCTATTGGACTAATGAGGACTATTTGAGTTACAAGTGTCAGAGGCTTGTAACGTGAATTGGTTAAAGTTAAGAGGACCACAAGAAGGATGTCATAGTTTAGATCTAGGGCATTTGCTTTTAAAAAAAGGAACTGTATTGCACTTGCTGGCTAGAGGAGGCCAGGAGCCCTGGAAGATGAGGACTAAAGTTGGGTGGAGCTGATGACTAATAATAGCCAATTTGCTCTGTTGCTCAGAGCTGACGTACAGAGGCCAAGAACGGGTCCCTGAACTTGAGACTGTGCCCTGGGGATAGAGGATGAAGAGTCATCAGGGATCTTTAGGATATGAGCACAGGGCTGGAGAGGGAAATTTGAATCCAGAAAATTAATAGGATCAATAATCTAGTGTAAACTTTTCTTCAGAAATAATTTTATAACTTTGTTTTACTAAGAGGGTTTTGTGAAGAATTTCTAAATCCATTTGAAAAATCTTGTTGTTAATTAACTAGTAAAATAGTGGAGTTTTTTTGGACTCAGGGAAGCTAGTGCACTCATCCTGTTGTCAGCCCATTAACACATGCTTGTGGGCAGAGCCTGTACTTCATCTGACCCTTGATGTTACAAGGACCTAGGACTGTGCCCCACGGCTTGTGATTCATGTGTTTAGAGAAAATCCCATGATTTCTTTGAATCCAAGCCCTGCTCATTGGGCTTCATCCTTCTGTCATGTATCTTCCCAAAAGTAGGCTATGATTCTTCTGTCATTCCCACATTCAATCAGTTGCAAAGCCTGTACATGTTACTGGGTCTCCTTGATTCAGTGCCTCCATTACCTCTTATCCATGTTCAGGCAATAGCTTCTCTATAGTTCTTCATACCTCTGTAGCAAATTGCTACCCCAGCTCATTCTTTGCCTGTTGCCATATTAATGTCCCAATGATAAATCTTCTTTCTGTCGTGCTTAAAAACTTTTATTGCCTCCCCAAAGTCTCTCAAGTTAATAGATTCCTGTCATTAAGCATTCAAGCCCTGTCACCAGCACTCATAGCATACAGCTAGTCACATTTTAAAAAATGTATATTTATTTTTTTAATTGTCTGCCTCCCCGACCAGACTGCAAGGTGTACAGAAGCAGCAATTGTGCCTATTTTGCTTATTTTTGTACTTCTAACCCCTTGCCAGGTGTGTGGAAGGGATGTGCTGAGTAAATTAGCATTTCCAACCTTACCTCTTAATCATTCTCCTCTAATATGATTCCAACCCAGCTAGATCATTTACTGTTTTCTGAATGTGCCCTATACTTTCTCATCTTTGGGCCTCTGTTCATGTTCTATTAACACAGCTGTGATGGTATGGTTAAAAGCCTGTGCTATGATCATACGATTGACGCAAATTTCAGTCTACAACTTACAGTTTATATGATCCTGGGCAACTTTCTTAGCTTCTGTGAATCTTGGCTTTTGGCTTTTCCATTTATGAAACAGGAATCTGGTAATTCCCACCCCCTAGTTTTGTATGAGGATCAAATGAGCCAGTACACAGATTGAAAGCCTTAGTACATGTCCAGTATAGGTCACTATTGTCACATTGCATGCTAGGCTCTTCACAGACCTGGCTCTAGTTCTCAAAGGAATATGGGAACTGGAGAGTATCCTGTGGGAAAGGTACTGGGGGTTTCATTTTAGAGATGAAGCAATGGAGGCTCAGAAAGGCTGAGCTGCCTGCAGCTGGTAAGTAATACAGCAGGATTCTGGCCTAGGGCTGCTCATGCCAAACCTGGTTTTTTCTACCGTCCTCACTCATAAGAATTGTATTTATCCTTTGAAACTCCCCACAAATGCCATCACTTCCAAAAGAGCTGTTCTGATTCTCTCCTGGTCTGATACCGTCTCTCATGCATGCTGTTTTTGTCTTTTTGTCAGTAGTAGTACACTTAGAAATCAGGGTCTGTGTGGGTAGCTCTGCCCATGAGACAGGCTTGAGAGAGTGCCTACCTCTCAACTGAATTCCTATAAATTTACTATTTGGCCATATTGTTTTAATTATTTCTTTTCTATACTTTAGTCCAAGTAGACCCTAAAAGCCTTTCTCTATACTCAGAGATCAGCCATATGAACTAATTCCCTTCTGGTCCAAATTTGTTTCCCTTCAGCAAAATGGTCCTCATCCCAACAACCTTTTAGTCTGGACCTATAAAGTCTGAAGTGCTTCTGTACTCTTTTGCTATCTTACTGTAGAATCACAAACATAACCTCTAAAACCATTTTTCATTGAGCAGACCTTGCTCTCTTTTTGCATAGGAAGGGACCCAAGAAGGGAATATACACTTACTGGAAACTTACTATAGACCCAGCACGATATTTAGTTATGAATAATACAGAGAAGGAAACTTGGACCTTGTTTTCAAGAAATTTAGTTGGTTCCAGGCACCAAGCACTGAACTGAGTGCTTTATTAACATGATCTAATCCATTCCCTGGGGGCTGCTGGAGATGTTGGCTGACTGCATTTACCCTCCGGATCTCTCATCCTAGGTTTTCATACTCTGCACACCATCCTCGGGGTCCACTGTCTCCCTTTGCACAACCTGCTGCATTGCATTGACAGTGGAGTGTTGCTTCTCACTGAAACAGCGGTCACAAGGCTCATGAAAGGTAAGAGGCCCTGAGTTTGCCAGAGTGTTAGTTCCAGTCTGCGCATCACCAAGGCTAGCTTCTTGGGTGTGCAACCTGTGTGGTCACAAAGAGCCCGACTACACTCAGAGGAATCTCCTGCTCAGTTTAATGCTGTATTACATCTTGAAATTCTTGGTAATATTTGAACAAGGGCTTGCTCATGTTTATTTTGTGTTGAGCCTCACAGATTATACAAGCTGGTCCTGTGAGCACAATCCATTCCCTGTAATCATCCTTTGGGCCAATTTAAAGTGTCTTAGCCCTTCAAGGGGTCCCAAGGGACTTTTCAATCAACATACAACTATTAGATTCCTTTTCTGTGCAAGAGGGCACTTGAGGCTAGGAGTCTCCACAGGTTCATTTCTCAAGACTTTCAGCTGATTAACTCTTTCATCTCAAGGTTAGATTAGAAATGCAAGAAAATTGTAGAGAGAAGCAATGTTTATATGAATTTGAACTTGTTTGTAGTATAATCATTCATATTATTCAATTATGATATTTTCAGATGATTTTTCTTAATATATGAAAGCATTTGTCATTCCTCAAGGTACCTTCTGTTGTTAGTCAATAAAATTGCTTTGCACCTGGCAGCCTGTTATAGAAAAATCTATTTTTATTCAGAGAGTCACAGAGTAAAATTTCCAAAATACTGTTAGATTAGCTTGAGGCTACAAAGTTGGGGTATATATTGTGTCAAGATGAACCACTCAACTATTAATGTTAACTTGCTGAAGTATCAAAATGGGTATTTGTTTAATTTGCCAATCTCTAACTTTCTTGCAGATCTGGACAATACAGAGAAAAATGAAAAATTGAAATTCAGTATCATTGTGCGGCTTCCTCCGGTAATTCTGAATTAGATTTTAGTTTTTCCCTAAGCTTTGGCATGACCTTCCTTCAATTCCTTCTTGCAAGAAGAGCATTTACTTACTTTGGGTTAAAGTCAATTGAATCATTTCACTTTTCAATGCTTCCAAGGAATCCCACTCGTCCCCAGCACTCTGTCAGCTGGTTCCCACTGGGCCTACAAAGCACTTGCTCCTCTGGCTCTGCACTGCCTTGGCACAGTCCAGTGAGAACATTAAGCCATTTTCGCTTCTTAGGAAACCACACTAATATTTACATCTGAGTCTGAGAGGAGGGAGAGGGGAAACATGCTGTTGGCATTTAAACAGATATATTTGAATCAGGTGAGGAAAGAAGATTCTAGAACTGTATTTCCCCTTACTGCCTTTCTACCATAGTAGAAAAACATTCCTAGGTCAAAGGAAGAATGAGAAACACAAAGGGAAAGAGCTTTAAAGGCATTCATTTTGTGTGTGTGTGTGTGTGTGTGTGTGTGTGTGTGTAAATATTAACTCTCAGAGTCAGAGATACTATGAAAATATGAAATTCCACAGCAAGGTCTTCCAAGCCTCTAACTCTGCAAATTTCCTGACCTGAATAGTCTCAGCCAGCTCCATCTGCTGTTTACACGCCTTGCTCATTTGCACCTCTGGCATGGTCCTCTCACCACGGAGATCTTGTTGCCTTTCTGGACCTAATCACCCTGCTCTGTGATAGCCCTTCCCCGCCTCACAGGCTTACTGAAGCGAAGGCAAGAATAGAAAACAAAGCATATTTTCCATAGCTAGATCTCTCTGGGGAACATTGCTGAATATTTAGTTTGGGCTCCCAATTTGATTATTTCCTCAACACTCTTAGGGAAGTGAAATTTTCTAGGCAAGACAATGGCAGAGAAGTTGATATAAACATGCCTCCACCCTTTAGTTTCCTGTGAAAACATCACGGAGTTTGCATGCCCATCTCCGGTTTTGAAGAGCAGTGGATAAACTCCATTTCGGTAAAAGGGTTTGGCAACATCAATGTATAAACCACTTTCCTCATTGTAGCATTTGAGGGAGTATTTGCTCCTAGAAACTTCATAGGAACATGGATGGCATTTCTCCAAGGGTCCTTAAGTGCCTGTCTTTTAGACTAACCAGTTACGTTGGAATACTTTCAAAATTATGAATAGATACAAGGTATGCTTACTTAATGCAGTATTCAGTATATTCTCTACATATTTTTCAATTTGCATAATAGCTTATTGGTCAGAAGATCTGTAGACTTTGGGATCATCCTATGAGTTCTAACATCATTTCACGGAACCATGTGATGCGACTGCTTCAGAACTATAAGAAACAGGTGAGTTTCTCTGAAAGCACAGCCAACTAAATGTTTTTTAGGATCCTATTTGCCCATGACAACATATCTATATGGACAAAAATTATAATTCTTACACTTTATTATAAAACTGTGCTTATTGTGGAGAACCGGCTTAAACCAGAAGTGGTTTCCCTTTTAGCCTCGGAATTCTATGATTGACAAGTCATCGTTCAGTTTAGAATTTCTGCCTCTCAACTACTTCATTGAAATTCTAACAGATATAGAGTCCACCAATCAAGGTAATTTACTCCACTGTTCTCAGGGTCCTCCCACTTTTCTCTTGACATCAGTCCTTCCCTATTCACTTCTGTGAACTGTTTTCTTTCCAAAATTCTTTTAACATACAAGTAGGTCCTTATAGGAATTGGTTTACATTAGCAGCACACAGTTTACTACCTAAATTACCAAATAATCACCTCTGAAGTTTTAAAAGAGTTAAGAGGTTTAAAGCCCATTTGGGTGATGCACATGTTCTTGGTGCTGAAATTTAATCTTAAGAACACATTTTCAAAAAAAATCATTTTACTAAAATATAATTAAGATTTTAATGAGCTGTGAGTACAAAGTTATAAATGTTTCATGGCTTGGTAGTAACCCTTCTTCCCTGCCCCCTATTTTTTTTCCAGCCCTATATCCTGTTGAACGACATGACAATGTGGATGCAGAATTTGTAGAGGAAGCAGCTCTGAAACACACCACAATGCTTTTAGGCTTATGAAAAAGAAAACGCAATTGGATCTGCTGCTGCTATTTAATCTTGCTCATTAACCTTACTCCTGTAGAGAATTCTTTAGCAATATTTAAAATTGGTAACAAAAATAAGAAATTATTTAGCCATCTGATTTTCAGTTTGGTACTTGTTGAGACAGAACTGTAACTGCTGTACCACATTTCAATTTTGAATAGCCATTGAGCAATCAAGTGTAGAGAAATGATAAATGGCCTAAGCAGACATACAGTGGCATCAATGATGCTCTTCCTAGTAGCTTAAGAGGCTACAAGCTAGTTTCTGTTGCACTCTGAAATAAAATACGCTTTAAAAAAAGCTAGATGTGTCATTGAAATAAGCAGAAAAATTAAATGTTGCGTAAGAACACTATTTGGAAAGAGGTTCCTTTTAATAACTGAATTTGTACTAAATAAATTTGCCATGTCCAGCACAGAATAATTTGTACGTAGTATTTACAGCAGGATTTGTCTTTGTGTATTCAGATGAAATGTATTTAATTTTTTTATATTTATAGAAGTTTGATTTATGAATATTTTGTCATTAAAAAACCTGAAAACAAAGTTTTGGCCTGACTTTCCCTGTTTTTTGAATGTAGTCGTCTTTTTATGAAAGCCAAGAATCATGACTCAATGAACATTTTTTTTTTTTTTTTTTTTTTGCTTCTCTATAGTGATTTCATTCTGACCCATAAAATAAGAGTTGCAGCCCAATGGCAGCCCACAACCCTTTGCTTTTCTGTCTTCAGCCTGAACTCATGAGATTTTAATGATTATAGATATCATTAGCTGGTATGATCATTCAACTTCCTGTCTAAAATCAATCATCATTGTGTTCTAAAAATTGTCCTCTCTTTCTTACAGAATTACACCCCCCACCTTTTTTTTGAGACAGAGTCTTGCTCTTTCGACAGGCTGGAGTGCAGTGGTGCAATCTCAGCTCACTGCAACCTCTGCCTCCCGGGTTCAAGCAATTCCCCTGCCTCAGCCTCCCGAGTAGCTGGGACTACAGGATTGTGCCACCATACCCAGCTAATTTTTGTATTTTTAGTAGAGACGACGGGGTTTCACCATGTTGGCCAGGATGGCCTCAATCCCTTGACCTCGTGATCCGCCCGCCTCGTCCTCCCAAAGTGCTGGGATTACAGGCGTGAGCCACCACACCCGGCTATAGAATTAAGCCTTTTTGGTCAAATACTGCATGGCCATCAATACTCAAAATCTTGGAGCCAAATCAATGCAATGCTGATTCTTTCTCTCGATAAGGTCATTATCTTTCAATCCCTAATTTCATTCATTTATTTGCATACCTGGATTGTTTTAGTTGCTCCCTAAGGTCTAAATTTATCTGAAACATACTTGAGATAAACACTAGTTTGATCTGGTCACTCTGCTCATAATCCTTCAATAACTTGCCATTCATTGTAGGATAAAATTCAAACTCCTTGACATTAGCAGTTCACTATTCACTACCTAAATTACCAGATAATCACCTCTGAAGTCCCAAAGTCCTGCTCTGTATGATATGAACATTTTCTTCCAGCCAGGCCAGTTATCTGGGCCTTGAACACAATTCTTGTCTTAGTTCCAAGCCTTTGTTAGGTTATTTCCCACCTAAGACCCAGATTCCCTCTTGTCTCTCAAAATCTTATTCATGCTTAAGGGTCAGATAAACAGTTCTGTCATCCAGGCCATTCTAGCATATGGTGCCATCTTCCTTCTGAGCCAGTAGCATGCATTGTAATATTTATGCATCCCTCCCTTTGTGATATTTTTCCATTCTTAGGTTGTTCAAACTTCCTATGTGTGTATTTTTGAATCCCTAATGAGGTTACTGATTCCTACAGTACGGCAACTGTGTTTAAGTATGCAATATTATTATCAAAGGCACTCCCTAGTAATTACTTTATAATGACTCACCATGCCATCAGGTTAGATTTAGGACTGATAGAGTTTTGAACCTGGCAGGATTGGGACTTTGAACAGATGTTTAGTAAAATAAAGGGATAGAATATTTCTCACTCCCAGAGTTGGGAAATAAAATTCCTAACAGCTATCAGTAGGAAATAAAGATACTTTGACCCCCTTCCCTCCAGAAACACCCCTGGTCCAGCTAAATAGGCAGCAATGTCATGGGCTTGAGAAATAGTCCTGTGCCCACCCCTGGCAAATATACCCCCAAGCTGGCTGAGCAGCTGTGTACCCACGAACTGGACCTGAGAAACAGCCCCATGGACTACCTCTAATACACATGATCCCAGGCTAGCTGAGAAACCTTGCACCCACATCCTGGGCTTGAGAAGGAGCTCAATGGTTTGCCCCCAGGCTGGCTGAGGAGGTATGTGCCTGTGTCCTTAGCCAGAGAAACAGTCCCATGGAATCACCCTCAGCACATACCCAGGCCAGCTGAGATGCTGTGTGACCATGTCCCAGGCCTGAGAAACAGCACTGTGAGTTGGCCCTACCCAACATGCCTCCAGGCCAGCTGAGCGGCTGTAGGTCTGCATACCATGCCTGAAAAACAGCCCCATGAGCTACACCTTGTAGGCACACATCCAGGCCTGCCAAGCAGACTTGTACCTGTGCCCTAGGCCTGATAAACAGCCCTGTGGGCCACTCTCAGCAAATGTGCCCCCAGGCCAACTATACAGCCTTGTGCCTGCATTCTAGTTCTGAGAAACAGCCCCATGGGCTGCCCCTGGCAGACACATCCCTTGGCTGACTGAACAACCACATGCCCATGTTCCTAGCCTAAGTAAAAGCTCTGTGGCTCCAACTCCAGGAAGCCAGACTCCAAGTTGGCTAATTAACCATGTGCATGCATCTAGCCTCAACTTGCAAAATAGCCTGGTGAGCCCACTTCAATTGCCACAAACTTTCTCAGCCTAGGCTCCTGAGAAACATCACTAATGTGGACTGCAGCTGAAGAAACGTTATAGATAGTACACTACTCCATCCAGCTGAAACTAAGGCAAATGCACTGCACTGAACTGACACCCCACAACTCATTCATACAAATAAGTCTTTCCCTATGAAACCTATTCCATAAAATTTCTATGCACCTGATAGAAGAGCTGACTTTTCCACCAGATGCATAGAAATCAATGTAGGGACCTATCAAACATGAAAAAGCAAGGAAACATGACATCTTCAAAGGAAAACAACTCTCCAGTAACCAACCCCAATTATAACAAAATATAGGAAATGCAAAAAAAAAAATCAAAATAATAATCCTAAGGAAACTCAGCTTCAAGAGAATACAGATAGATAATGCAACAAAATCAGGAAAACAATTCATGATTTGAGAAATCCAATGAAGAGGTATAGAATCAAACAAATCCTGCAGCTGAAGGATTCAATGAATGAAATAAAGATGCAGTTGAGAGCTGCAACAACAGACTAAACCAAGCAGAAGAAAGAAAGAATTTCTAAACTTCAAGACAATTTTGAAATAATATGGGCAGACAAGAATGAATGAAAAAAGAATGAAGAAAGCCTATAGGATTTACAGAATACCATTAAGTGAACAAATAGTCATTTTATTTTTTTATAGGAAAAAAAAAAAACATGCAAAACTAGCAAACTCATCAGTAGAGCCGATACACAAAAAAGAAAAAGGAATCAAACCTTATTACTATAGAAAACCACTTACCCACAAAAGTAAATAAGAGGAAGTAAGGGACAAAGGATATACAAAACAACCAGAAAACAATAAAATGACAGGAGTAAGTCCTCGCCTGTCATTAATAACCTAAAATATAAATGGATTAAATCTTCCATTTAAAATATACAGAGTCTGCGGGTGGATCATGGCGACCAGGATGCAGGACTAGATTGCAGCTATGGAAGAGCAGCATGTGGAGGTGTGCATTGTGAGTTTTGGCTCCAGATTGACTCTAAGAACAGACCAGCAATCCTGAGGCCCTCAGAAGGAAGCAGACTGCTCCTGCAGGACCCAAGAGACACTGCAAATACTGTGAGTGCCCCAACCTCAGAAGTGGGAAAGGTAGACCCTTCTCTCCTGGATACCCCCTTTCCCCCACTGGAGAAGCTGAAGGTCTGTTTGTGGGAGAAGTTCCTGACCTTACCTGGAACTGAGTCAAGTTAGAGAGCTGAGCTGAGTGAAATACAGGGATAGAGGAAGCAGCAGAAAGGCACTGGGGGCGCACTGGATCCCCAAGCAGCCCATTCCCGCCTGGCACCACAGGGTTCCATCAGGAGGGAAGCCAGAAGAGCAGGGGGTAAGACTCCACAGGGTGAAGGACTTCTCTAGCTGAACTTTGTAACAATTTGCACGGGGCCAGAAGCCTCCTTGCCAGAACTCGGGGGAGGGCGTGAATCCCGCTTGCAGACTTTGCAGGTGGGAAAAGAACTAAAACCCTTTTCTTTTGCAGCTGGGAGGCCGAAAGCCTTGGTCAAGTTTTCAAGCCTGACTTGCCCTCCACCTGGAAACAGACTTGGGGCTATTGGTGGGGGATATGGTGGGAGTGAGAGCGGCCCTTTGGTTTGTGTGGGAGCTGGGTGAGGCCAATGACTACCAGCTTTCCCTCACTTCCCTGACAACCCGCATCACTCGGCAGAGGCAGCCATAATCCTCCTAGGTACACAACTCCAGTGACATAGGAATCTCACCCCCTCCACCACAAGCCAGACCTGCCTAAGCAGAGTCTGAGCTTAGACACACCTAGCCCCGCCCCCACCTGATGGTCCTTCCCTAACCATCCTGGTAGTAGAAGACAAAGGACATATAATCTTGGGAGTTGTAGGGCCATGGCCACTGCCACTGCCAGTTCCTTTCCACACTACTATAGCTGATGCTTTCTGAAGAGTGCCACCTCCTGGCAGGAGGCCAACCAGCACAAATATAGAGCATTAAGCCACCAAACCTAAGGACCCTCAGAGTCTATTTTACCCTTAGCCACCTCCACCAGAACAAGCGGTGGTATCCATGGCTGAGAGACCCATAGACAGTTCACATCACAGGATTCTGTGCAGAAACCCCCAGTACCAGCCTGGATCCAGGTAGACTGACTACGTGGCTAGACCCAGAACAGTGACAACAATCACTGCAGCTTGGCTCACAGGAGGCCACATCCATAGCAAAAGGGGGAGAGTACTACATCAAGGGAACACCCTGAGGGACAAAAAAATTTGACCAATAGCCTTCAGCTCTAGAACTTCCCTCTGACAGAGCCTACCCAAATAAGAAGGAACTAAAAAAACGACCCTGGTAATATGACAAAACAAGGCTTGTCAGCAACCTCCCCACCCCAAAATCACATTAGTTCACCAGCAATGGATCCAAACCAAGAAGAAATCCCTGATTTACCTGAAAAAGAATTCAGGAGGTTAGTTATTAAGCTAATCAGGAGGGACCAGAGAAAGGTGAAGCCCAATGCAAGGAAATCCAAAAATGATACAAAAAGTGAAGGGAGAAATATTCAATGAAATAGATAGCTTAAAGAAAAAACAATAAAAATTTCAGGAAACTTTGGACACACTTTTAGAAATGCAAAATGCTCTGGAAAGTTTCAGCAATAGAATTGATCAAGTAGAAGAAAGAA